TTTCTTTCGGAAAATAAATGATTTTATATTTCAAGCAATAGAATGAAACTATTTAGTAGATAATTACTTTTTTTTTACTCTCTATAAAAAAGTTGACATAGGCGGCGGAGCCACGAGGCCTGGGTAGGCTCAAACTGGGACAGATAAAGGCTTGGACAGATTCGAATTATCCTAAATTAAACATATAAAAAAGCTTGAGTAGGCTCAAATCGTCTTAGATTGAGGAGATAAAAGAGGCTCAGATAGGCTCTGTTCAATGTTAAAATTCTCTAAAGGGTGGTTCAAAAGTTTCGACCACTCTCTATAAATCGATAGTATCTACAACAAACTAATATGAAGTTATTGATCAAATCACGTCATCTTTTAGAGAAAGATAAGAGTTATCATGTGAAAAAATATTTGGAAATAGATCTGGCATCTCACCAACACTTTGTAAAAAAAAAAAGAGAAAAAAAGATGCCCAGCATTCTTGAAAAAAAAGAGACTTTTTAATAAAAAAAAAGAGGAGAAAAAGAGGCAGTACAGTTTCCTTTCGAAGCAAACTAAAACTCACCGGCACTATAGTACTATAGATCCGACAAAACTCGTTCGTTATCAGTATAGCTTGAATATGACTTGAAAGAGAAAAATAAAAACTAAACTTCCAAATTGTTCGGAGATTTTTGTGCAGCTGCTTATTTATCCGTTAGAAAACCGGAAAACATTAGAAAAATATTCTAAATATTCTATCTGCATAGTATCTGAGTATAGTATTACTGTCTAACTAAGTAGGTATATAGAAATAGAAACAATCAAAATTCATTAAATGTCCTTTTTGCGTTTTGTTCCTTTTTTTCGGTTGGCTGCGCATGTGAGAAAGTTTTTCTTGCGCTTTTTCAATTTTCGACAATTCTTCCGTGATTTTAACCATTTTTCGCAAGTCAGTTTCACTTTTCCGTTTCTCAACATAAATTAATACATTGGCTGCAACTGTGTCCAGACAGCAGGTTTGTGGGAATCATTTGACCGCGTGCTATCGAAAATGCTTAATTTTTCGCAGTGACATATGATCATCTTCTTGGGTTCTGTATAAAACGACTTACTTGTATTGAGTAGATTGGATGATCTCTTACTTTTTGGTTATCGGATACCCCTGTTTGTTGCTGTTGCATTCCATCATATCTGATTTCTTCCAAGTATCATCAAACCGTTGTCAATATTAACCCATGTCAAGCAAACACGCTCGTAACTGGAGAAATACGGCGTTTCATATCGCCCAGTAATGTGATCATATAAATCCGTGATCGTATGCGCAAAAATATGATCGTTTATAGACAAACAAAGCTCGTCTACACTTTTCGTTTTACTTTGTATTTCTTCGTATACGATTATATTTCTCTGTGTACAGTTTGGAGATATACGAACCTCCAAAATGTGATTGAATACGAAGAAACTCAGAAGAAGAGGAAGAGGGGTTACTTCATTTTCTGATAAGCAGAAATCTTCAACTTATGTTATCATACTATCGGAAGCTATCTTGCCGAACAAATCCCATTGAATCTGACAGAATTCTAGACTGAGTCTAGTCATCCTAGGAACTCTTTGCTTTGAAGCATGCGCTACGCTACGAGTTACCTGTCTATTGTTAGATTCATATCACAAGCTTCTCTGGGGCCGAAAAAAGTGGTCAAGAAAAGTGAGCTCGAGATTATAATTTTACATATCGATCTCAACCAGAATAAATGTGGAAACCTCGGATTTAAACCCGAGAGTTATGTGTACTTCAAAAAGTGAATGACACAGATGAGTCATCCTAGAATGTGTGGACGTAAAAATTATCCTGGCAAACCTTTTCTATAAAGCACTTGAATTCTATTGGCTACTGCTCAATCAATAGGACTTAGAGATGAATACAGCTCAGATTTGAACTCTTCGCCTTGATTTACCCTAAGAAAGTCGTTTTTTCCTATAGCTGGATTTCTATTGATTACTGCTCAACCAATAGAATTTCAAGGCAAACGGAGCTTGGATTAGAGTTCTCCGACCCAGAAAACCTCGAACTATCATCTCTGTGATCGAAAGACAGAGCTCTAATTGTGGATCAACTAGAGTGTGGATAAGAACAGAACCATTTCCCGTTTAATTATCTTTGCAATAGGTGAGTTAGTCTTCTTGTTTCTTTATGTTTTATATACCATTTTGTAGCTCGTGAAATTCTCTATCGAATGGTATATAATAGTTGGGGTTTTATTTGACTATGATAGGAAAAGTTTCTTACGAAAGTGGGAACAGGTCGATTTTCGCATAGGAAGGCATAGGGAATAATGACTATTTTTGCAATAACTGAGGAACGGCTTGACGAATCATTCTCATCTTCGAAGTCGACCGAGATATTGTTGAGACTAAACTGTGTAGAAAATTTCATCGCAATCGGACTCTCCTTTCAAAAGCTATCGTGTAAACGGCCGGACTGACACACTGACCGATTCTAGAGTGTACTCACTTTTTGAGTACACAAAAACATGTTAAGATCGTGAGAGAATGATGATTTCATATTGGAAACATAATTGAGTGCTTTTGCTTCCGCTAGAGAACTACAAAAATTGGGTTCCGATTATGAATATATAATATCGCTGAAGTTGATCACTAAAATCATATACTTTAGCATCCTTAGCTATGCAACTTGACCAAGGGGAAAACAGCTAAAATCAGATTTTTTTGATTTTTTTGATTTTTTGATTTTTTTGATTTTTTTGATTTTTTATTGATTTTTTTGATTTAAATCAGCTGTTTCCCCCTTGAACTTGACTGATCAGCATGTCAGTTTGTTATGTGATATTTTTGTATGATACGGTAACAATAATCAATATATTCATGAATATTTTTGTCAACGACCTGCTTCTTCGTGAGAAAAGAGGAAAAAGTGGATTTTTTCGAAAAAAGAGGCTAAAAAGAGGAATTTTAAAAGAACAGAAGAAAAGGAGGAAAAAGAGGTGGAGTGGGATGCCAGCTCAAAGCTGCTAAAATGATCATAATATTATAATAGATTTATGTATTTCGAAATATTTTTTTCAAATGATAACTCTCATCTTCCTCTACAAAATAACACAATTTGATCAATAACTTTGTGTAAGTTTGTTGTAGATATTATCGATTTATAGAGAGGGGTCGAAACTTTTGAACCATCCTTTAGTTATCAAATTCTACGGAATTTAAACCTAGCAAGAGAATCTGTAGCGCTTACCATTATAAACGAAAAAAAAGTCTGTCAATTGACTCTCGATGCTGACTTGGCTTAAAAGTTGAGCCTACCGTAGATTAAGACCGCTCCGCCGCCCATGAAAGTTGATGATTTTATGTAGTGCGTAGGCGCTACTACTGATTATTTAAACTATTCATTATGGACACAAAGCGTACTTTCTTATAAAAATTTCGTCATGCTTATGTTTAGTTATTTCATGCATCTACGTTCATACACTTTTACTGAGAGTAAAAATACAAAATTCGAAGAAACTTAAACGTAGATCTGATCGAAACCGTCTTTGATTTTTCTACTCTAGAAAACTACCACTAGGAATTCATACTCTGTCTTATTATATGACTCCCACGGGTTTACTCCAAGAGTTTCAAATTGTAACTGAATTCATCACTCTTGTTTTCAAAAAAAAGCATCTAATTCAAAAAAAGATAATTTCATCATTTAAAATCTCTAATGCTTATTGATGTACAAATGATGGTGATAGGTATGGTGAAACTGTGACTTTTGCAAGTTGATATTGAACATTTCCATCATGTAATATAAACCTGCTGATTTCATATTCTGAATTAATAACAAAAGCTATTACGCAGGTGTGGGTGTGGGTATCCTATCGTTTTCGGAATAAACAAACCATTTATTGATCGAAAATAGAGTTGCACAAGAAAAAAAATAGAGAAACAATTCTGGAGTAGTATTTTTGTTGATGAACGTATGCAAAAAGTTACCTCTATATTCTCCTGAGTAGCAACAATGTTGAAAACACTTTGGTTTCTTTTCAGATTGACAGAGAATTGTGATGCCATCGAATGCGACTGAAGGGTGTGGGTGTGGATGCCGATCATTCCTTCGTCCACATCTCACACCCATAAACACCCATACCCGCACCCACAACCTGAGACATATTGTACCTATGACTAACAATTTCTGTCATGCAAATCTGTAAGTCTGTAATCAAACTTCATTTTGTTTATACAGGATTGACCGTGGGTGACATTCCACCATTGATGAAGCAAGCAACCGATGAGCAGAACCGATTGTTTTTTGAATTGGTTATTGACTTGAAAGTTTTTCGTTACCAGATGTTGTCTTGCTTCCGTGGTTGTTCTACAAGCGATACCGTGAATTATAGTTTTCAAGCTCTGGATAGAAAGACTCCCTGTGAACATGCCAAGAATTCGCTGTCGAACTGCTGCTATGGTCCAACCGATGCCATTAAGGAATCCGAATTAAAAATTGAAGAACAACTTGAGGAACAGAATACAACTCTTCATGGTCTCAAAGAACACATGCAGGTTTTAATTAGAAAAAATAAAGCTGGATCAACAACTGTTGACTATGATAGCGATTAATTTATATATTCTACAAATATTATAAACTTTCGTTTTCTCTGAATATTATTTTTAGAAGAAACCTTTCTTTCTTTATATCGATTCCATATAAAAATAAGTTAGATCTCGCTTGATTTTATAAACAAAAAGTAACTAATTACAAATGATTGAGTTCATTTTTCCATATGATCATTTTCAATTTTTGACTAAAGTAGATATTTAGGATGAAGAATAAATCAGTCAGAAGTCCATATCATCTGGCGAGCTATCAAAAGCAACATCTGATAATAGAAAAATATGAATATCATGTTAGTTTATTTATATTCAACTTTCAATAGTTAAGTTTTTCTTTCATGCAAAAACAAAACATCTGCTTTAAATCATGATTAATTCACAAGTTCAACACCTGGTGTTGGATCATAGTCCGTATTTGTTTATTGAACCAATATTTCCTGTAATTGAAGTCCTTTGACAAGACCAGTCTTTTTACTGCGAATCAAAGCTCCTTCACTGATTTCGATGATTCCTCCATTATTTTGTTCGATATCAAGTTTTTCCAAATCTTTCACGACTCTTTGACTGCCATAGTAGGCATGTCGAACGACATCTTCTTGAAATCCATGGCCTAACGTTACACATTCAATATCATTGACGAACACTGTATGACCTTGATCGAGTACAAAGTTATATACAGCATCACATGATATTTCATGTACGGAGGAGACAAGTGAACATGGCATAATCCACTGTGAAGAAAGACGAATAGGATGCCAAGCAGTAATGATTAAGTCATTTTCAACCTATAAAAGAAAGAGCATTTGAAATACCGATAAACTTAGAACAGTTTTTCTTCATTCAATAGTAACGACTGAATCAACGAGAAAAACAACAGTATTAGATACTCAC